ATCTTGATTGCAGATCATGGGAATCGAAGGCGGTTGATCGGCGTGCATGGCGCGATCTAATCACGAAGGCAGTTGCTGAAGTGCGGGAGAAATCCCTCATGCATGCAGAGAAGAAGCGGCAGTTGCGGAAGCGGCAAGCACCGATGAATTGTACTCCATCGACATCGAGCGCATGGTGCTGTAAAACATGCGGTCGCGAGTGCCTTAGTCAGGCAGGCCTAGTGAGCCATGAGAGAGGTCACTCGGGACCACTGCCGAAGCGACGACGGGTCCCGCAGTGAACATAGGCAGCACCGGCGCAGCGTTTGTAGGCACGCTGAATTCGATTTACTAACCGCATGGTTGCATGCTAAGTCTCTTTATTTCAGGTGGTGGGTTTTCGGTTCTCTCCTAATGCCTTTCTTTCTCATATAAATGTCTAGTGGGCCATGAGCTGTGCAATTTGGTGCCACTACAGAAGCGACGATGGGTCCTGCAGAGAATTACGACGAGCCGGCGCAGCGTTTGTAGGCACGCTGAATTCGATTTACTAACCGCGTGCTTGCATGCTAAGTCTCTTTATTTCAGGTGGTGGGTTTACAGTTTTTACCTTTTTGCTTTTCTTTCTCATAGAAATATCTCCCTGTACTCTATTCCATTAACTTGCACACATCGCTTCAGCCAATTGTATTCGATTTCCATAACAATTTTGTGTTCGTGACATACCGTGAACTATACTTCCTGACCTCGTGCACTTAGCTGGGATTTGTTTGTAAACAACTTATTACGTATGCTATTTAATTAAGGTTTATGTCACCGTTTCCTTATGCATTAATCGAGTTTTTCTCTTTTTCTTTCTCTCTCTCTCAAGTGATTGGCTGTTGTTTGATATCCCTGGTGTGGCTGCGCTTGATGTGCATGTTGACAAGGTGTCTACCTGTCTATTACCCACTACGTCGTCCATACTGGCTCCAGGAGACAGTTGGTCGTTGCTGGAGGGGACGGGGTGCACGGTCCTTGTGGCCGTGTTAGGCTCGAAGAGTGGTTCCATGCACTCAGTGTGGAGCGGACTACGGTCCAGCCACCGCCTTGTGTGCACTTGATTCCCCAAATACAGTGTGCTTGTGTTTGCCTGTGAAGGAGTGTGGGCCGGCTCCGTTGATGAAACGTGGCTCCCATCCACATGCCTCCCGGTCTTATTCCTTCGGGTTTACACTGGATATGGGGTGTGTGGTTGGAGCTGTGGGTGGTGCAGCGCAAGCCATCCATGGTCCCTCTGTAGGCGCAGGCGTCCTGTGGCTTGCCACAGTGACAGGCAAATCCGAAACCGGATGCCGCCAACCATGTATGTATGTGTGCCCCATGCTGAGGCTGATGTTGCATTCTTGATGCTATGTCACCGAAGATGGGCTAAACCAACTTACACTTAAACTAGGTCTTTTTAAGCTGGATAAATTTCATTCCGCTTGATTTGTTTTGTTCTGCCTCCCTGAATAATGTTCTATTAACTGGCCACGTTGCTTACACTAATTGCGCTTATCTTCGGTAATTTTGTTGCGTTTTGTAGCATTTTTAAGTAACTTGTGGACATTTCTTACTTATCACGGATTTGTTGTTAACGCACTTACTTCATATGGTAAATTGGCGAAGAGTTATGCCACCGTATCTGTATGCATTATTGGATTTATTTTATTTCAACTTGTCGTTTAAAGTGAATGGCTGTTGTTTGATATCCCCGGTGTGGTTGCGCTTGATGTGTATGTTGACAAGGTGCCTACCTGTCTATTACCCACTACATCGTTCATACTGGCTCCAGGAGACAGTTGGTCGTTGCTGGAGGGGACGGGGTGCACGGTTCTTGTGGCCGTGCTAGGCTCAAAGAGCGGTTCCGTGCACTCAGTGTGGAGCGGACTACGGTCCAGCCACCGCCTTGTGTGCGCTTGATTCCCCAATTACAGCGTGCTTGTGTTTGCCTGTGAAGGAGTGTGGGCCGGCTCCGTTGATGAAACGTGGTTCCCATCCGCATGCCTCCCGGTCTTATTCCTTCGGGTTTACACTGGATATGGGGTATGTGGTTGGAGCTGTGGGTGGTGCAGCGCAAGCCATCCATGGTCCCTCTGTAGGCGCAGGCGTCCTGTGGCTTGCCACAGTGACAGGCAAATCCGAAACCGGATGCCGCCAACCATATATATATATATATATATATATATATATATATATATATATATATATATATATATATATATATGCAGCCCGTATATCTAGAAATGCGACGTTGGTGTGCTTATGTCAATGGAGGCGGTGTTCTAGCATTTGGCGGAGCGTGAATAGTTGATTCACGCATCCACGGCCGGGACGGAAGCAATCTTGTTCTTCACGGTTGTATGATTCACGTATTGGAAGTAGTCTGCCAAGCAGAACGAATGCCAATAGCTGTGAAGCAACCGAAGTGGGATTAATCCTTCGGCGATTGACACATGAAGTACGATCGTCTTTCTTGGAAACCTGGACAATAGCTGTTTCGCTCCAAGAGGGAGGCACATTTTCTTCGTACCAGCGTTTGGAGAGCAACGAGCTCATGATTTCAGGTTTTGAATACAAATCGGTTTTTGCAGCTTTGTATTGAAACCTTATGAATTCTTCGACTCCCAGTCGATTCCACGCCTATTCCGAGCTATTGAGCCACGAGGTCAGCCACCGTACCTGATCAGCTCTGGAAGACGTCCGTCTGAGCTGGCTGTCTTGAATCGCTTTAATCGTCGAATCTTCAGGTAGACTTCCACTTTGCTAGACTGTGGAGTCCAGTTGAATTGCGATTGAAAGCGCTCGGCGCGGTGGTCCAGACGTCTCTTCTGGCGTATGGTCGGCGACCCATCCACTTTGCTGATAACCTCACTGACACCAGGCTTTCTGAGGCCAGTGGACCGATTGAGTTGGAAAAGATTGCGAGTGTTTTCAACGAGTGTAGCAGTCTTCATCTCTAAAGCACGCTCAGGCCACCATGCTTCGGGATCCTTGCACCGACTTTGCATGAGCAGCTGGTTGGCAGAACGGCGCCGCTCGTTGCAGTCTGATTCTGCCGGGATATCTCTGTCAGTCGAACGGTTCCAGAGGGCTAGCAGAGATCCAACCCCTTAAGGAGCGTTGTGTTGAATCTCAGCTTGATTGTCCGGAAGTGATCATCGCTTTACGTGTTGCTCAATGTTTTACGGTGGATTGCAACAGTGTGTCTGCTAATAAAGACTGATAGCTGGCCTGGACCGAGGAATCAGTTAATCTATTCGCACTGAACTTGCGGTGCCCTTTTTTAAAACCCTCCAAAGCACATGCAGATTTTTGTGCAGGCCAGCGCATGATCTAAATCAATGGAGGTGGGTCAAAGGACCTGTAGTCCCCGCCATCTGAAGCTGATTGCAAAATGATTATTTTGAGACTGCTTGTGTTGGTGAAGGGGGACGGCAAGTTGCGGAGCGTATATTCGTATGCCTAAGGGTGGTGCTCGAGAGAAACAGATGGTTGTCTTCTCACAATTTGAAAAATTACTTCGTTATCCTAGCGGTCCTCATCGAGCGCGTGGTGATCATCAAGGCGACGTTTGTATTGTAACAGGCGGCCAACCAGTGCATTGAAATCCCCATACAGGACGACATCCGATTTATTAGCGTAACTCATGAGCTAATGAATCTTCCTATAAAAGTTGTCTTTTACCGAGTCACACACGTAGTTTTGTTTCGTATGCGGAGATTATAAACAAGTTGCGTCTCTTCCGAAGGCGAACTGCACACAATCGGCTGTTAATCGGGAACCGGTCTCGCAGTGCGGCCTCTGTCTTGCCAAGTGGTACTATGCCATCTCCAACCAAACCTGCCGTGGCTGCGTCTGAATCTTCAGAAAGGCGCAAGTGTTATCTGGCTGCGTGGTTAGTGGGGATGTCAGCCTAAGCACAATGCTGGAATTCTGAAATCGGGTTTCGGAAAAGCATCCGACGTCAACATCTAGGGACTAGAATGCGTGGTAGACCGGCTGGCTGTCCAATCTATGAGTCCATACTTTGAAACACGCCCGACGAAACGAAGATCGGGGTCGAAAGAGGGACACTGGTTGAACTCCATGCTTCGCGGGGCAGCCGAAATCGCAGGCATATCCTTGAACACAGTAATCGGGTGAATTCGGGGAATCCCACACATTTGGGGTCGGTGACTGATTGCTCAGTTCTTACGCCTTTCATTTGATCGGTTACTAAACAGGGGCCTAATCCTTGCATGATTTCAAGTGGTTGTTGGAATGCCATGTTCCACCGAAGTGAAACAATAAACGCTGACTTTATTTAATGGCGAGTCACATCCGCTACGCCACTGTTAAGCGAATATATGTGCCAGACAAAAATCCACCACATCGCAAAATTTTGCCGCCGAACAATTGGCAGAAACGAGTAATCCTGAACCACCCATCTGGCACCACGTGGAAGTTGTTTGGCAAGCCAACTTTGATACCCATTACTTGCTCTTCAAATTCTTTGGTATTTTTCATCCCTTTCACTCCGTTATGTTTCTTGAAACCTTGTTATCTCACGAGTCATGTGAATGAGATGCACTGCGCTTTGATTCTTGGATCTTTGTTATTTGGTTCATCATCTGCCGTTTACTTTCTCAACCTGCTTTGTACCTTTATTGGGCCGATAGAACAGAACAGCTTAAACCCCGTGCCTACATATTAAACTCATAACGTTCGATAACCATAAATGGTCCACAACTTCATCATGACATTTCCCCACGATTTATTGGCCGTAGCTCGTGATTTGCATAACACAACCCGTGCGGTCTCCTGCCGATCATGTATGGATGCTTGCAACCAGAGTGTTTCTTTGGCCGTTTGGGAATGCGGATTCAGTTAGCCTGCTTAGACATCAATACACACCGTTTTTTTGTCACCTACACACTGTGCAGCCCACTTATTGTTTTCAGGCCCCACTTATTGTCTGCTTATTTTTATAATCCCACACGTCTACCTTCTTCATGCAGCTATGAGTGGGTCGAACTTTTGGACCCTAAAAGCCAACGGTCGATGTATGTCAATTTATCATCAGGAGAATGTTGCTGGGAGCCTCCTTCTAACACTCAAATGTACGTCTACCTAACCTACTCTCTTGTATGGTATTATTCTATTTAGTCCCTAATATTAGCGCCACATCTGTTTTCAATTGGTTGTGAGCTGTGTGCTACATTAGATTGATTATCATCGAGATGATTGGTCTTCGCTTCTACCATTATCACTCGTGATTGTAGTACAGTCCGATCTTGCCGAGGCGCCACATTCTATGGTCAGTACAGCTCCTATCGGTAACTAAGGGGAATACTACGACAAATGTTCTATCCCTGTGCTTCCGTATTGTTCACTATTTCTGTTTCCGAATGAAATAATTCACTTTTTCGAAACGCCTTACGGCATATTGCTTTGCCAATGTTTTACTGCTGCTGAGAGCTTCGTTCGTTATTTCACCCCACAATTCCTTGAGGTTATATGAAAATTCACTGCTGAACTCTTAATCGACGGTTGGCGGATACACAATCTCAAGAGCCTCCTGAACTTCGCAGGAGTACCCTTGCCTTTTGGGTGTTCCCACTCTAACCGTACCGGAAATACCTGTATTTTAAGAACGTGCAGCTTTATCCTTTGATACTCTTCATTTGATATATATCTTCGTATTTCGAACCTCAATTCAAAGTTGCCATGGCTTGCCGCTTTATATGCTCAGAAAGCTGACGAACCGTGGTGGAGTATATCTTAGTTCACTGTTTGAAAGCGTTATCCGATAGGGACTTTATTCGGGCTTCAAAATTTGTCCGTACCACTAACCTTTTGACACAATGTGATAAGACTAAAGTGGATCCCACAGAGCCTAACTGTGAATACGACACCACGAATATCAGTTGAGTGCATCGTATGCTGCGCCTCACGTAAATAGGCAGCGATAATCAGCAGTGGATTCGGGTGAAAGGTTAATCGATCAATGTATTTCAACGTGGAGTAAAAATAGAACCCCTTTCATGTTGGGCGTATAACAGTGAGTACTCTTTGGGCTTATCACTATGACAATGAATGCATGAGACCACAAATTTCGGATTATATGTTCACATAACTGAAGGGAACTGCAAGTTGTTACACAATTGGATTTAGCGCTTGTATGCTTGCAAATCGAAATCCATGCACACTCAGGCGATTCATTCACCGGTGGTCGTCTTGTCGAAATTGGTTTACATCCCTACCTAACTCACTCAGCTGTGTTCCGGCATTTTTTGAATACAACACTTGATGATGCTAATTGAGCTGTCGTCTTTTTATCGTGATCTACGTTAGCGACTGCTGCCATAGTTTGGATCGGATTATCTAGCACATTTAGGAACATGGTGTCGGATTTCCTTCCAACAAATGTGCTCTGCTGTGCGTGCGACTCCACAGTATCCATAACCCGCGCGCGACTGGTGGTGGTGGTCATGTGGCAGAGAAGCATCTTTCTTTCTTGTCGTTTCGTTTTTCCTTGCACACCCCCACCGGTGCACTTCAGTCGTTGGTGAATTATAAGCGCCATCACTAACTGAAAAATGCTAAGCGCCATTTAAAGGAACTGTGAGGATACCCTGTTCTCCTCACGTTAGAGATCATGGTGCCTGGGAAGGTTTCGAACAGCACCATCGGAGCAGCTATCGTTCAACTGGTTCATTAAAGACAATGATGCATGCAACTAAATCATTGTTGCACGAGTGATTGACTTGCAGTCGAGTGGAAAGGAGGGCATTAATGCTAACTCCAGTCGAGGAATTTCATGGCCTTTCGTGTGAAAGGTTTATCGTCCAAGCGGGTCACAAAGCACCGTTAGCAACATCCTTCTAAAAGCCAATCATCCTCATATTTTCAGCAAACAAGCCGCATCATCTAGTTGTCACGTTAGTTGTGATTTTGTGATGAATCATGTCCTTGAGAGCAATTGCGTATGAGGCTTACATACATCGATTATTAGAAAGCTAGTGGCTTCATCCGCTAGCCATTTGAACTGATGCTTTGCTGCCTTACAACTTCGGCAACCTATGGAACGAAGAATACTAGGATTTTGACGTTCTAAACAAACATTCAGGGTCAAAGCGCCTACACATTGTGTTAACAACATACCGTCGCAAAAATCTGATTATCGTATAAAAACAAGGCAGCATCAGCGAGACAGCCATTGACTCGTAGATAATTCGACAACAAACAGTTTAAACAAGCTGTCAGATTACGTGAGGTCAGCAGACGCGCCACTGGTGTCGACTGTGAGCGATGTCCTTAACTTCTCGAGCCAAGCAAAAGCCAGATCACGTGGAGTTCAGCCTGCAAAGCGAGACGGACCGACGACACCGAGTTTAGTCATCAGCGATTTCATTACACGATGCCAAGTTAATTTTTGCCCATCACGAGTCTTGCGCCATCCTACATCTAACAGATAAAACGAAGGCCGCTTCCGTAAACGTTGATCGGGCATACGTAGTAAGTGACTAAGCTAATACAACTTATTTGTCTGCAAACGTCTTATCGTCAGGCTGGACGACATCATCAGTGCGTTTTATGCGGGTCACTTACAGATCCAAGTGATTGTTGATCATTTCCTGATTCGAACTTCAGGAGTCGATCGGTCCACGTGAGCTGACTGTGTAGTCAACTCTTGCGTATTGTTGGCTAGAGTCCGCCTCAATGACGTTCGTTTGTCCTGTTGATCTGGGGCAGAGTATTGATTTGACCCTCAGCACTTCATAGGCAGTATCTAAATCTGTCTATTGATTGAGTTCTTTTTCGAGTACCAAGCCTCGATGAACTCGCGTGCTTTTCGACTTTTTTCCCTGCCTGTGATCCTGACATCCTTCAAATCAAACTGATGATTCTTGACGTCCATGTGTACCGACATCAGGGAGTGCCGGTCGTGTCGGCGGATGGCTAGGCTATGCTCATGTAGCCTAGTGCCGCGCTTCCTTCCTGTCTGCCCCACATAGGATTTGTTACAATTTTTGCAGTGGATTTTGTAAATCACACCACTTGTTTCTTCCTTGCCAAGCCGGTCCTTACCATCGAAGAGCTAGTCTCGAATAGTTTCTGTCGGCTTGTGAGCAACTCTGATTCCGAAAGGTAGTAGGAGTCTCGCCGTCATCTCAGAGACGCCGTTGATGTATGGTAGAATGATTGTTCTTTTATCCGTTTCTGATGTTTGTCCATGCGTCGGTCGTTTTATTGAGGCTAAACAACGTGGAGTAAAATTCCATGTAAACATTTCGAACAGATGATCTTCCTCCGCTTTCCTCAGCTGTGGAGTGCTGCAATGTGTCTGAGCTCTTTTAAATAGAGTTGTTACGCAGTTGCCTTTGTAGATTGTTAGATGAATGCTACGATAATTCAGGATTTGATCTGTATGCGTCGCTTTCCGATAAACTGTTGTCTCCAGTTGTTCAGCAGCATGTATTTTTACTAAAACATGCAAGAATGGTAACTGACAAGTGCTCTTCACTTCTTTAGTGAAACGGATCCCCGTAAATGTGTTGTTTATTGGCTGATGTGTTTCTTCCAGTTTCGAGCGCTTGAGGATGACAAAGGTATCGTTCACGTAGCGTAGCCAGAGCTTGGGTTTTGCGACCGGGAGTGCGGTTTCTTCCCATGCTTGCTTCTTCGCTTCGGCCACTAGTACGGATATCAGTGAACCCATTGGCGTTCCTATTATTTGTTCGTACGTTTGGCCGTTGAAACTAAAATGTGTCGTGAAGCATAAATCCAACAACTCCATCATGTTAATGGCATCTATTTTTTTGGTTCGTGTTGAGGATCCGCGTTGGTCTGGTAGTGTTGCCATCGTTTATTTTGCCAAATTGTTCATTGAAGTGAACAAAGCTGTTGCATCAAAGGAAACCATGAATTCGTCTTTTTCTATTACTGTTTCACTGAGCATAGCCAGGAATTGTTCTACAGATTGTATGAAATGCTCCGAACCAGCTATCCGATGCTTCAATCTCTTCCAGAGTTCCTTGGAAAGTTTGTAATTCCGAGCTCTAGGTAATGACACCATAGGGCGGAGGGGGACTCCAGCTTTGTGCACTTTTTGCAGGCCGTAGAATCGCGGTAGCACCGAATCCTCCGGTTTCATCTTGCAGTGTTCCAATTTTGTGATCTGTCCCAACTGTTCTAAATTTGTAGGGTGCGTTTGATTTCGCTTTCCAGTCGTTTTGTGGGATCTTTGTTTCCCGATTGGCAGGTGTTCACATCTTCGAGAAGTTCTTTGCGCCTTCTTCGTATAACCAGTTTTCTCCATTACAACAGTAATATGTCCTTTATCAGCCGGTAAGATACCGATATCTTTAGCTTTCCTAAGATTTATCAACGCTTTTTGTTAAGTTTTGTTGAATATGTTGGCTTCACTCATGTGCCTCAGTGCTTGAATGATACTGTGCCTGATCGCGTGTTGGGCATCAGCTGTGGTGTTGCATGAACTCAGTGTTGTCTCAAGCTCTGCGAGAAAATTGATGGGATTGTAGTCTTTGGAACTGAATTGCATACTGCTTTTTCTACATTCGACAGGGACCATTTGGATAAATTCCTAATTCAGGTATCATCTTGATTCATTGCTTTAGGTTTGAACATTCTATCTAGTTTTTTTCCTGTTTATGTTTTGGAGTTTTCCGTTGTTCGTTTTGATGGATATTGCCTTTTCAAGCTCTTTAGTCAATTTCGTGCCGAGGTTGGATAAGCGTAACTCCTTTTGGAAGTCAATCATTCGAAGATATTTTTGCCTTCAGTTATGTGCGTCGGGGATCAGCAGACGCAACATGCATCGTCCGTGTTCTTCGGGGGGTTTCCAGGCCAAGGGATTGTTTATTGGTGTACGGTGCTGTATACTTGGTGGCAGAATTTGTCTTCTCAAACATTCATAAAGGAAGAAAAGTTGCTCCTGAGTGGAAGATAGCCGGCTGGCATAGGTCTCCCATGGGCGAGTAAACTTGAGTGCGTCGATCCCGAATTCATTAGAAATCCCTGAGAATGCCCAGATGCGGATAAGAGCATGCGGGTGTTCCCCGCGCTGGCTGATTTGCTTGCAAACGTTTCATCGTTA